GAGAAATTTTAAGCATTAAAAGTTTGAGTTTACAGAAAAAAAAAATAAAGTTTATTTTATGTGTATAACCAGAACTGGAGTCACACAGACAGTTGTGAGCTACCATGTGGACACTAGGAACTAAACCCAGGTCCTCTACAAATGCTCTTTACGGCTAAGTCATCTCTCCAGCCCCGATTTATTTTAATCTTGTGTGTGTGTGTGTGTGTGTGTGTGTGTGTGTGTGTGTGTGTCTGTGTGTGTCTGTGTCTGTGTGTGTGTCTGTGTGTGGTTATATGCAACTGAAAGCAAGAGCCTGTGGAGACCAGATGAGGGCCAGTCCTCTACAACTGTGGCTCTGTCCTAACCGCTGCCACCTCTCCAACTCTCCTCAAGTTCTTATTGATGGCTACAATGTAATCTTTGCTTAATTATTATTTTGCTTTAGGTAAACTAAGAAGCAGTTCAAGCCTTTAATCCTAACACTCCGGAGGTAGTTCTCTGTGAGTTCGAGGCCAGCCTGCTCTACCAGGACTGTTAACACAAAGAAACCCTGCCCCCCAAAGGCTGGGAGGGACACCAGTTCATAGCTCTTAAACAATTCCCAATGTTCCAAACGTTCTAGAAAGCCAAGGAAACAGGAAGATAAAGTGAGTTAAACTGTTTGGGAATCAGTCAACCCCCAACATTAGCCCTGTGTGAACAATAAAAAAAAAAAAAAAAAATGGCACCCAGCTAGCCCAGTGATGCTCACCTGTATCTTCATTTGGAAGATAGAAACAGGAGAGTCAGGAGTTCAAGACCATTCTGGGCTACAGAAGAAGTTCCAGGCCAACCTGGGACACATGACACCTGTCCCAAAATACTGAAGAGACGTCCCAGCAGTGAAGAGAACTTATTGCCCTTTCAGAAGACTGGAGCTCAGTTCCCAGCACCCATGTACACGCAACATGCACGCAGGCATGCACACACACAAAGTCTTAAAAATGAAAAAGCACCTCCAAAAGGGGTAGAATGGGAAGGGAAAATTATGGCCTCTTCCTCCTACACCATGGAGACTGAAAGTTGATAAAACAAATTACAGGGATTTTTCGACGGGGTCTCACTATGTATCCAGCAATCCTCCTGCCTCTCTGTTAGAATTACAGATGTGTGTCCCCCCCATGTGGAACACAGTTAAATATACTATACTTCATAATGTAAAACCCACTTTAATCAAGTTAATACTTGATATTCTGTTAGGTTCACTTAAAGGGGTAATGGGAATTTGATATTAATAAACAGCTTTGATGGCAACATTTCATTTTATTTTTTAATAAATGTCTTTAAAATATCTTAACAAGGATTGGAGAACTGGCTCAGCAGTTAAGAGCGCAGGCTGCTCTCTGTGGAGGACCTGGGTTAAATTCCTGACTTAGAGGCTCAAAACCATCTGCAACTCCGGGAATTCATGTGGTGCTCAGATATACATGTAAATAAAATGCACATACATATAAAATAAATAAAATGTTTTTAAAAATGTTCTAGCAACCAGTAACCATTAGTAAAACTTTACTTATAATGGGGAAACATATATATATATGTATATATATATATTAGACACACACACACACACACACACACAATCACTCAACAACCCCACCAGCTCCTATTTTACAGAGCTGCCCTTGATTCTTAGATCTTAGAGAGGAGTAGCATCAATAAGAGGCCCTGTGTTTAAGGAAATAAAACTATCCAAATTGATTCAAATCAAATGGTTAAAAGCTACATGGCAACAGAGATCTAACATAAATCCATCACCTACATTACACCGTCAGCAAGTGAGATCTGCCTGGAAAGAACCTGCTGGAGGTTTAATGCCCTGATCTGACTTCCCGCCATCTGAAACACCCGGTCCTTTTGATCTTCCCTATGCTGTTATCTTACGCAGGAAACAGCAGGGTCTGCATATGGATCACTAGAAGAACTCTGGATTGAAAGGAAAGGTGGGATTTCAGGTCACCGAAGCCACCCATGCTTACCAAATAGTAGAACAGCCACTGGTCAGCCAAGATCTCTATGATTTTGAGGCCAACCTAGTCTATATAGCAAGTTCTAGGACAACCATGGCTACATAAAAAGACCCTACCTCAAAAAAATAAGTTAAAAAAAAAAAAACCCTGGTGGAGGTGAGTTCAGAGCCATCCTGGTCTACAAAGTGAGTTCCAGGGACAGCCAGGGATGTTACATGGAGAAACCCTGTCTCAAAAAACCAAATAAATAAATAAATAAATGGAGGGGGTGGGGCATGACGGTTCCACGCAATAGTATCTACACAATGCAGACACAAACATGCATCTAAACACAAAACCTTGCTTAAGAATGTTCAGAGTAAGCTGAGGGTTGGGGGTCATGAGGGGGGGGGTGAGCAGCAAGGCAAGGCATGCCTTTAATCCCAGCACTTGGGGAGGCAGAAGCAGAGGCAGGCAGAGCTCAGTGAGTTCGAGGTCAGCCTGGTTTACAAAATGAGTTCTAGGACAGCCAGGACTGTTACACAGAGAAACCCTGTCTTGGGGGAGGGGTGTTCAAAGCAGCTGAATATGTATTTATAACTGCTCGATCCCTGGCACACAGACAAATAAGGTGTGGTGTATTCATAGAATAATGTCCAGTAACAAAGCATAAGCCATTCATGCATTCCAACAGGAGGGAGCTATGAGTTAAGAGTTATGCTAACAGAAAGGGACAGAATACAAGCCTACACAGAAAACCTGTCTGCAAAGTGGCCTGCTCCCCAGTGGTGACAGGCTGAATGGGACCAGGTGGAAAGGAGAAAAAAAAAACTTCAAACCTTCTTTAGTCATACAGGGATACACAATTGTCAACTAACAACTGACCCACACTGTATGGGAATGACAATCTAATGAAAAAGGAAAGCTCTGATAGCCAAATCAATGTTTATTTCTGGAAACCTCTGATAGTCAAGGCAAAACCACAACTTTTTAAAGGTTTAAAGGAGAGAAGGGAAAGGGGCCAACTATCACTTGAGTTGTAACCAAGACCTGTAAATAAACTGCAAGCTCTTAAACTTCTGTTTTCACCAGGAATATTTAAATTCTGCTTAACTAGCCCAATACAGAGAATGCAGAGCCTAGCTAGTAAAACAGCAAGGTAAGAAACAGTAATTAGCAAACACGAATCACTTTATTTGGTGAAGTCTACACAGGACTCTTACCTGAACACTCACCCACTTCTGACACCGGACCAAATGGCTAGAGAGAGGGAGGAGGTGTTCAGGGAAGGAGGGGCCCAGTTTTTCCACAGGCCTTAGACCCCCAACCTTAGCCTTTTTAAATGGAAATTAAGGTTTTAGATAACCAGAATCTTTAAAGCAATAAGGGAACTCAACTGCTGAAGAAATCTTCAATCCTCTTGTGAAATATATAAGCATGGTGAGAAGTAAACCCTGGTTTCCCGTCTACCTGGAAGCTATCTTACAAAAGGCCTCATTTCCAAACACACATATCCCACAAGGGGCAGGATCCTACAAGAGAGGAAGCCTGTGGAGGACTCGGCTTTTATCACCAATGCAGCCTGGCTGGATGACTGCCAACAACAGGGCTCAAGTAGATTTATCTCTCCCGTAGATCATGAAGTACATTTGCCTAATGCAATGGCCTAGATTTTACAAATGACATCCACCCAAGCACTTGCAAGCCTGCACATTTGAACGCTTCCAAGGAAGACACAGACATCTGCAAAGGACTGTCTGCACTGGCCATCCGCAAAAGCACTATTGGAGACTGCTTACTCTATACTCCAACGTACGACTATAAATGTCTGTAAAATTCCTTGGCTTCGAGAAAAGTCAGGGTTGAGCCAATGCACTCGTGTTCAGTCTGCATCCACACGGCACAGAGCCCACACATATTACTGAACTGCTGGAAAGCTTTTAAGGCTAAAAATTTCTATTATGTGGCCATGACGAGCCCAACTAAAGGAAACTTGAGACTATAAATAGCACAATAGCATCACATGGGAGGGGGACGCTTTGCTAAAAAAAAAAAGTACAAAGCAGTTTACAATTTGATATACTGTATGTTTATAAAGCTATCAAATATTAAATACGAGCCACTAAGAAAGAGAGAGAGAAAAAAAACGACTCGTGCTCAGGGAGATAAGAATGCATCCTCGCTAAAAAGTTATGTATGCCACTTAACTACCACTTTTCAAGGCACTTTCGTCGTCTTGCAGCGTTATAGTCACTGCCAAGTGGCTCTTATCTAACTCTCAAAAATGATGTCGCAAAATCCAAAATGCAGAGGAATCGACTGAGTGCAGTCCAGGGCTGCCAACCATCAACCAAGGGCAGCGCCACAGGGCAAGAATCCATCATCAGGCTTCCCAGCTAGCTGCCCAAGAGAACCACCGCTTGGGCTCTACACAGATGAGACCTTAAAAAGTGCCAACCTGAAAATCTCTCTCTCTCTCTCTCTCTCTCTCTCTCTCTCTCTCTCTCTCTCTCTCTCTCTCTCTCTCTCTCTCTCTCTCTCTCTCTCTCTCTCTCTGTCTCTCCCTCTCCTCTCTCTCTTTTTCTCTCTCCCTTCCTCCCTCCCTCTCTCTCTCTCTCAAAACTGCATCTGCCCGCCGTGCGGCTTAGAGGGATCACCTGTCCACCGACAGGAACCTGAGTGTGTGTAAGATGGCTTCTCCTGGCCGACAGGGACGCAGTCACACGTCGGTGCCTTCCCGATGTAAAAGGCTTTAAAGACAAGCGTGTGCTGGGGAAAGCCACTCAAGAGGGGCGAGCGCTCCCCAACCGTTTCTGCTGGGACGCGAACTCACGGCGGTGGCCAAGCTCGCAGAGCATCCCGCAGGGCCCCGCGCCCCCTCCCCGGCCCCAGCCACTGCGGCTCGCCTCTGCCCGAGAATTAACTTTCTAATAATACAACTTTAGGCGGATAATCGCCGGCGGCCCCCCCCCCAGGCCGAGGCCCACACGGGAAGCGACCCCCCACCCCCGGTCGCCCTGCCGCGCTCACCAGGTACCAGACGCCCAGCAGGATGGTGCCGGTGCGGACATGGCAGCACAGGCAGCAGCTGTGCGAGTAGAACCGCGTCCAGGGCGCGACCATCTTCATCGCTCCGACGCGCGCACAAGTTTGCGAGAGACGTGGTCCGAAGCCTTCGGTCCCGGCCCCGCTGGCCCGGTCGGCTGCTCTGGTCTCCGTCCTTTGCCGCTCGGACGCCGGGTCCGCTCGCCCTGCCCGCTCGCCCGGGCCCTGGCTCCGCGCTGCCCCGAGAGACCCGAGTGGCGGCTGCGGCGGGACACTGAGCTCGAAGACCGCGGCGACGCGAGGGGGCGGGGGAGGCGAGGCCTGGGTCACGTGGCCTGCGGGGGCTCGTGATGTCACCGCCGGCTCCAGCCAGCTGCGGCCGGGCGCCGGGAGCGTTGCGCATCCTTTTAGGTGCGCGGTTGCTGGACCCTCTGGGGTGCTCCCGAGGTTTTTCTCCCGCTCCTCCGGGCTGTGGGTGCAACTTTGCTTGGGGTTCAGCTTCATTCCAGCTGTGTTTGCCTCGGGTCTGGTTTGCAGATAGTCGGTGGGTGCAGTGCTAGTTATCCTGCAAACTGGAGGAAGGGAAATGCCGTGGTATGTACGTACGATTCCAGTCAACTGCGGTACTTTGAGCCACTGCGGAACCCGCTGAGAGCAATTTGTCTCAGCTTCCCAGCCCAATTACTCTGGTAGCAGTCTTTTCCCAGAAAATAGGATGTGTGTCAAGGGCATCCTCGCTGTGCTTGGGTAGCATTTTTAATAATGACTGAAGCTCTGAAGAAACAATTACCGCCGAAGGTCTATGAAAGACAACACACAGCGTTGACTGAGCCCAGATGATTGGGGAGGGGTGGGGTGTACTTCCTTCCAGCTGGTGTTTTGTCTTGGAGGCTCGCATCCAAGGTTTAGCCTCTGACCACAGTGATAGCTAAGAATTTCGGATAAGTGAGATTATAAGTCCGTGTGAAAGTTTTTCATTTCAGACTTGGAACAAGAAATAAAACAGGTCCGACTGAAATTTGAGTACATGTCAAATAAGATTGGTTAGTTTCACAAAGGCAGACATATCTACCACATTCTTGGTGTATAGTTTAAACCTGAGTTCTATCCCCAGAAATACCAAGTGTAGGTCCTTGAGCGGAGATAAAACGCCATATTATCGTGGGAGGAATTGGAAAAGCTCAGTGTTTGCAAGATAATTGTCTCTTTGGGATCATTATGGGCTGGGGCCCATATCTTATCATGCAATAAGCTATGAGTTCCAGCCTCGGGGTTGCAAAATAATTTAGTACATAATTATGTCCACGGCCACTTGTAACTGGATGTGGGTTACTGCTCAAAAAAAAAAAAAAAAAAAAAAAAAGGACTGGAAATACAGGATGAGGAATACTGAATTGAAAGACTTTGAACACTCACACACTTGGTGAATTACCATAGTTACTTCTCTCTTTTCCCGCCAGAATTTCAGATTTATTAAGCAAATGACATGTTGATTCAATTGAACTTTATATTTCAGGAAATTTACTTTATTCATGGTATGAAGTCATAGTTGCCAAATTGCTATAGATTTTCAAAATATAGACTAGAAGCTAGCTGCAGAGAGATGTGCACAGGGGAGGCTTGGTAAACCACACAGCTACAGTATCTTTAGAATGATCTTATTGGAATGAATAGAACTGAGACAGGCCTGGTGGCGCACACCTTCAATCTCAGCACTCCAGGGGCAAGGGGCAGAGGCAGGTGCATCTCTGAGTTTGAGGCCAGCCTGGTCTTCATGGTAAGTTCCAGGACAGCCAGGGCTCTGTAGAGAAACCCTGGAGGGGGGTGGGGGTGGGGAGTTTGTTTCCTAACCCTGGTGTGCCTTGCAAAATATGTTTTTGGACTGACTACCAACCCCATGATAAAGGACACTCCCTGCCTACGTGGTATATATCTTAGCTTCTTCATTGTATAGAATTCTTTTTTGTCTGTTTTTGGTTTTTTTGTTTTGTTTTGTTTTCAAGACTGGGTTTCTCTGTGTAACAGTCCTGGCACTCACTCTGTAAACCAGGGTGGCCTCGAATCACAGAAATCCTTCTGCTCTGCAGTCCCAGTGATAGGATTAAAGACATACACCATCACCATCTGACCAACATTCTTGCTATTTCATTGCAATTTTCTAGCCACCTATCATCTCACCCCTGTAAACACATTTGCAGCTACTTGTGTTTTGTTTTGTCGCCATTTGTTTGTTTTCTCTATTAACCTTGTGAGCGACCCCTCCCCAATGAAAGGACCTTAAAAAACTAGCCTGCTGGTGCTCTCTCAAATCCCAGCTTAGGGTGAAACAGCAAACTGACCAGTGCCTGTGCACCTTTAAAAATAAAGTTTGTTTTAATAGGTCAGTTGTGGAAATAGTCTCTCTCCTCATATCTGGGGATGACAATCCTTGGAGCTGAGTGTAGCTGCCATTTCACAGCAAGAGACAGCACTAATACCATTGAGGAGGAACACAGATAAACACAAAAGGGCATGATAGCAGGATAGGCACTTGTGTGTTTTGAACACAGCTTACCTTGAAAGGCCATATCAAAGCATTGGGGAGATCATGGAGGGCTCCCCAGAGGTGCAGAAGTTACTGGGGTTGCCAGGGTCTAGCAGTCCTAACAAGCTACTTTTGACACCAGTCCTCGACAGGACAATTAAACTGACAGATACTAGTGAGAAGCATAAAAAGGAAATGTATTCATTGTGGCCATATTGGCAAGAGGGATAAAGAGGCAGTACCACGCCAAAACTGTCTTTGGGGGCCTGATATGAATGTTAAGTTTAAGCAGAAGGCAAGTGCAGTGTGTTTAAGCAGGCAAGGTGTGGCTTCACCCAGCCTTGTCCACTCCCCTCTCTGTAAAGTGGCCTGACAAGTTGGATGAAATCTTTCTCAAGGAGACCTGTTTCAAGCCTCTTCCTTCCCCCAGCATGAGATTCCTGGGGAAATTCCAATTTGAAAGGGACTATTGTCTCAATAGTCTGATTGCCAAGGGACCCAAGTGTCTCTTTAGAATGACTTAATTCCTGCCAGGACAGCTACAGTGACTATGCAATTCAGATCTGTCAGTTGACTTGCAATTGGCATGGGCAAAAGACAAAAGAACTAGAATGGAAGCAGGATGTGCCAGGGCCACAGCTGGCAAGCCTACAGCTGTAGAAACACCTAATGCAATGTCTGAGGTTCGAAGGTAGAGGGGCAAAGTCCACAGAGGAGAAGGATCTTTCAGTAAGAGGCTAGGGCTCTGCAAACACCATGGGCAACAGAGTAAACAATCCGAGGGCTGCCAGAAGGTTCCATTCAACAGGACTCAGTAGCTCGTGTTAATGCTCAGATTTTGAGCCAGGTGGTGGTGGCAGAGACAGCACACTCCTTTAATTCCAGCGCTTTGGAGGCAGAGGCAGGCGGATCTCTGACTTCCAGGCCAGTCTGGTCCACAGAGTTCCAGGACAGCCAGGGCTACACAGAGAAACCCTGTCTTGTCCCAGCCAGGGTCGGGACTGTGAAGGGCTCCAGCCTGAACTGCAGCCAAAGGTGAAAGAATCAAATTGATGTACTCCCCAAGGCCTCCTGATTAATCACAGAGTCATTAAAGCAAATGTTGGGCTTGGTCAGGGCTGGATTGGAAGCTGGGAGACAAAATGAATGAGATGCAATCCCTGCCTCCAAGGGGGAAAGGAGAGAGAAAGAGAGAGAGAGAGAGAGAGAGAGAGAGAGAGAGAGAGAGAGAGAGAGAGAGAGATGAAGATGGGCAGATCAGATGGAGTCATTAGTGGCGGGTTGTGTGACTAACAATAAAACAACAGATCCTGATTAATAGTGATATTAATACACATTCTGCACAATTCATCTGTGCTTAAAGCTTTGGATTGCAATCAGCTACATTTGTTTTGATCGGAGTAGAGTCGGGAAAATAGAAACCATCTTAGATCTTTCAGCCAGAGAATGTAAATCAGGGACTGGGCTGCTATGGTGAAGTGCTTTACAAAGCCATTTTTGCTTACATTTGCTACCTTGGCTGAAAATTCTTGGTTCCCTTTCACAGCTGGCTAAGCCCCTTCAACAATGACTTTTAAAAATTATTCTATTGGGCTGGAGAGATGTCTCAGAGAGAGTTTAAGAGCACTGCTGCTCTTCCAGAGGTCCTGAGTTCAATTCCCAGCAACCATATGGTGGCTCACAACCGTCTGTAATGAAATCTGGTACCCTTTCCTAGCCTGCAGGCATGCATGCAGAAAGAATACTATATACACAGTAAATAAATCTTCTAAAACTTATTATTTTATCTTTTAATGTACCAGTGCTCTATCTGCATATACGCCAGATCCCATAACAGATGGTTGTGAGCTACCATGTGGTTGCTGGGGTTGAACTCTAGTCCTCTAGAAGAGCAGCCAATGAATGCTCTTAACTTCTAAGCCATTCTCCAGCCCTCCAGCTGCTTTTTTTTTTAAACCAGGCTCTTACATTGTAGGAGATAACAATGTGACTAGTCGTTATGATAAACGACTCAAGAGGGATCTTGGCGGATCCCATGGTAGGACAACCACACTAGGCAGACAAAGGATGCTTGGGAGACTTCATTGCAGGAAGGGAAGGGAGTAGGAAAGGGGATAAAGACAGGGAAGAGAGAAAGAGAGACAGAGAGCGACAGAGGCCTCCTCAGAGAAATGGCAGAAAGAGAGGAGAGTCGGCAGAAGAGCTTGTCTCTTAAAGGGACCTTTGCCCCTGTGTAGAGCCAGAGTACTGCTTGGCATATGCAGAGGGTGATACACTATGCCAGGTTCTCAAGGGGTGGGGCCAAGGTGTGTCTGGGTGATAACACTAGTTCCTCCAATGCATGATATCAGGGGATAATGACCACTTCCTTCTTGAATGCAGAGAAGAATTATTCAAAATTCCCAACCCCTTGGAAGTAATGGGACCTGTTTGTCCCCTCAGCTCACTCTACAGAAGACACTCCCCAGCCCAATTCCAGCAGATGGGGGTAGTTCCCAAAGAAGAGAACAAGCCTCGTGTAGTTAGAAAGTTTTAAGACTAGTGTCGGTGGTGCATGCCTTAAATCTAAGCAAAGAGGCAGGTGGATCTCCATGAGTTCAAGAAGTCAAGGCTAGCCTGGTCTACAGACCGAGTTCCAGGACAGCCAAGGCTATACAGAGAAACCTTGTCTTGAAGAAAAACAAAGGAAAGTCTGGGTTTTGTCAGGTGGGCACCTGTTGGAGGATCCTCTCTCGATGGTGAGACAGACATCTCATTAGTTTGCTCTGAATTTATACTGTG